TTTGAAGAATACATTTAACATTGATTGTTTTATAAATTATTTTATTCTATTCTTTTCTAGTTTGGTCACTATTTTAAGTAAAATTTCTAATAGTATTTTTAAATAAATTATATATTGCAGCAGCATAAGGATTTGAAGTAGTTCGAGTTTTTCGTAAAAGATGTCGGACTGTTAGCAAATTATAGAAATGCGAAAAATCTGCATTTGAAATGTGTAATAAACACACGAAAACCAATTAGCGGCTTAATTGGTTTCCATGTAAATTTGCACACATAACAATTAAGGAAACGGAACGGGATTGGAAGGATTTGCAATTGAAACCGAATTAGAACTGAGATCCGAGCCAGCGGCGTTGGCTGCTGCTGCTGGTGCTGCCTCGATTTGCGCAACGCCACTTGCAGCAACAATATAATTTGTGCGATATACATTAAGCTTCGCAATTTTTCCGTGCCATTTTCATTTTAAATACGTCCAAAAGCAAACAGAGCAAGAAAACGCGTTGCGCAACGTCTAATGAATAGTTTTCTCGGTAGGTGGAAATCGTGCGGTCCGGTCCGCGCGTCGTCTCGTCCAGTGCCACACGGATCCGATTAGATTCGCATTTCGTTGATCCTTTTCAACATTTCCTACTTTTTCTGATGTGCATTTCTTTGCGAATTTGTGAAAGGCTTTTTTTATTATTATTGTTAAATGTTAAATTGCTTCAAGCCAAAAAAAATAAACCGTTTCGAGTGTCATCCAAAACCACTCATTTAGAACAGTCCACTTCCTTCTACAGTTACTTAGTCTGCAATTTCATTGCCCAAAATGAATCCGTTACTTTCTAATGATCTTTATCAAAATGCAATTTCTATTTGTTTCGATCTGATCCTTTTTTTTATATTTGAAGCAAAGTATAATAGAAAGGTTTAGTAATAGCAAATATATTTTAAATAATTGAAATACATAAAAATGATTAGGTAACAATTATAGTGTTTGTTCTTGGGTAAGTTCCGTTTTTCTTCTTCTCTTTATTGCAGTTATTTATTTTAACGCAATTACATCGTGTAATTAATCTTTAATACTTTACATTGTTCTGCTACACTTTCTAATGAGTTTTATCTATAAAGGTTTGATATAGATTTCTGTAAAGTGAAGCAATCTAGAAGCAAATTTCCTCATGGCTACAGGAAATAAAAAGCTGGACTATATGACAGGTAAAGAGGACTTCCTATTGCGAATCTAAGAGCAAACCGCGACGAGCAGCAATAGCAGCGAAAGTTCTTCCAAGGTGTGGCCTCGGATTCATTCCAGTTAATAATCTATCCCGTCTACGCAGTTATTTTTTCTTAAATAAATTTTATCCATTTTCCACAAATTAAGTAAATCGCGAATTTTCCGCGCGTTCGAAAATGATTCAATTAAAATGCATTTATTTAAATTGCAATTGCAACCATTACTCTAATTGCGCAAATTAAAATTTCTCGCTGTTAATTTTTGCAAATTAAATAACGAAATCGCACGGCATGACGTTGGAAGCAACGGATGTATCGCATTGTTTCGGTGCACTTGCACATTTTATATCAACGAGCGTAAAGAAAAAACTTCATTGTGGATTTAAATTTACGCTCCAGACGCGAGTTTCTTAACATTTATGAAGGTTCGTTTGGCACACGACATACCGCATTTGCATACGTTCCGTTCTCGTTATAAAATGACCATTTTATTAAGCTATAATTATTTTTAAGTGCTTTCTTGCAAAATCCTAAGTACGGTTTTTAAGTACAAATATCGATTTTCGAAACAAGGACATTTTCAGTCTCACGTATTTCCTCATTTCTGCTCCATATAAACCATATAATCTTGTGATATTTTAGGGTAAACTCCTCCAGCTTCAATCATTATATAATAATAATAAATAAGAAATTATGTTTACAAATATTTAATATATATATATTTGTAAAATAATGTATACATTTGTAAATCAAATGATTTCTAACGTTTCTGTTATTCAATACGTTAAGTGCTACTGCATTTATATGTAGATCTAACAGATCGTTGCATTTCCTAGATACACGTATGACGGATTGACCTCTTTGACACATTTAACTTCTTTGATGCAGTTTCTAGTTTGCAATAATCCGATTCAACTTTCGGAATTTCAAATTGTTGAATTGTTTTCATATTTATTGTACTTGTTGTTCTCACCTGCGGAATGTGTTTAGACCAAATACGTTTCAATGTAGTTTAAGATTTATTTTTTAAATTCATTCTCACGAATTAGTATAGTAAATTTGTATTAATATTTAAATATATAAATTTTATTTAGAAGAATTAAATTTTTTGAGAAAAGTAACTTAAGCTTAATTTTCTCCGAAACTTCAATGTCTTATTTTCTTCAATGAGTTGTAAATTCTCACGTTTTTCGTAGTTATTCTCATTTTGTGTGTGTAAATGACTCTTCAATATTAATATTGGCTGTTTTGCTTCATTTTCTCCAAACTTACTGCGGTTTTCATATACTTTTTTATTTTATTTACAGTTTATTATGTTTATTCATAGATAAACTTTCCAGATGGATGCTTACCACTTGTATAAAAAATATACAAAACTATAACATTTGAAACATTTAAGATTAATTGATTTTTATTGAGTGTTCTTAAATGACTTTAAGTTTATATAATTGTATCCCTTTCAAAGATATAATAAAGATACAATTAGTGTATTTCATATTTTTCTGATATATTTTATAATTGCATTGATCACTTTATAAGATTTTAGTAATTTTCAGACTATTTTCCATTATAATTACACAAACAATACATTTTACCAGTATTCTTTTCACAGAATATATTTATAAATGTATATAGAACTCTTTTCTACTAAAAATAAATTGAATGTGAATCTGTCTACACGTTCGAGTACAAGAAGTGCATAACTTTCCCGTACATTGCATGCCAATTAATGATTAATAGATGCAACAATTGGAACTAATGCACGGTCATTTGATTTCGTCGTTTTCTGTCCTGGATCAGCGTTTCCTTGGCGCAATTTTAAGCGGAACCTCGAACCTCTAAATCGCAATTGGCGAACGTGCATTTAAAATAATTATACGTATTTTGTATGGAAACAACGAAACGCTCTCCATAATTGTGGATTTCATAACTGATATGATCTGCAAGTTTTGCGGCAATTCTCGGGCAATTTTCCAATCATCACAGATTGCGAGTAGAGCGGATTTGCATAAGCAAAAGAAGGACAAGGAGTACAACAACAACAACAAAAAAGTAGTTCGGCCACTGGCGTACAACGGTAATGTATTATGTTCCGTTGTGCAATTTCATAATGAAATTTGCAAAAAAAAATGAATGAAAGAAAATTGGAATCATATAACAAAACTGAAGGAAATAAAAACAAAAATGATGCTCGTGGCAATATTGAATTGCATCCGTCAGGATCCATATATGCAGGCTTCGCTCTAAATTCCCGCAACCGCAACTATAATTTTCTTCCATTTAATGGATAGCCTAGATTTTACGTGTGTATTAATTTGTAAGTGCTACTTGTATATGAATCAAGTACAAAAAATCGCTTAATTTTATTTATACTTTGCGATTCGGAGCGAAAGTGAACACGAAAATGTGCCTTTGCTGAGGCTGCGTAACCCCTTCACTCGCACTACCCGAAAGAGTCCTTTTCTTTTATTATAGACAATATTAAATCATATGATCGCGCGCGGATGATATACTTCGACGAGTTTCAATATGCTGCGGATATTTAATTTCCCCCTAAAGCCAATTTCCTTTCTGCCCACTAATTACATATGCCAGGATATTAATGTAATGATACGCGTCGCATTATATAACTTTTATTGGGTTTGCGGCACGATAAATCACATACCGGCTTCCTCAATTCCAACGCTCTGCTTTTGTTTTCAAACAATTATATAATTATGTTATTTAAATTACGGCAATAATTACAGCAAACACTTTTTCCTAAATATAAATTAATTATAAACGTTAGATGTTATTTTGAAATACAGGATGCAATTAAGTAATTCGTAAAGTTATAAAAGATGTAAACTTTTTAGTATACTATTTTTTGTATCATATTTACAATTGTGAAATAATGATAAAAAATATAAATTTGTACTAAATAAGCAAAAACCTATGGTTTAAAATGCAAATGAATTATTTTCTATTTGATTGTTTATAATTGCTTTAATAAACATTGTTATAATAATTTGTATTTAATTATTAATATAAAAGTTTATTAAAATTGTAAATAAAAAGTATAATGTATTAAAAATATAAAAATATTTGAATTAAATTCATATATTTATTTATATTTTTCATTGGGTAACAAATATACTGTGAGTATTAGATACAATTGTATTGGAGCTGAATTTAGTTCTAAAACTTCATTAAATATTTCAATGATTATACCTCTTATATAGGTAGTAAATAATGGAACAAGTAAAACGTGACGATGCAAAACGGGTTTTACGAATTTTAGAGGAAATCCCATACCGAATAGAAAGGCGACCAAAGAAATTGGCTATAAAAGCTACCGCTCGTACACATCCTATCAAAAGGAGTAACAACCATCATGCATAATGTGCATTTCTTGTCTATCCTGTACATATATGAATATTACAATAAACAATTAAAATAAAAGTTGTAACAAGTATATATGCTTAAAATAATGTTGCAAACAATACTTTGTATACAAGAGATAAATAGAATGTTACTTTAATAGAAAAGAGACGATTTATTGGAATAATAAGTATTAATATCAGCTTAACACAATACTGAGTAATTAAAGTTAAAATTCAATAGTAATTTTAATTACATTTATTATGAATATTTCTACTTACCTGTCGTAATAAAAAAATAATGAATATTTATTGATTAAACTTAATATATTAAAGACATATTAAAGACTTATATATATGTTATATTAAATCCTATAAAATACACATAAACAATATTTGTTTTCATATTACATTTTTCTATTAGTTTATAAACAATTTTTTTCTTTTTTATATTAATATAATTTTTCCATTTTGGGATTATAGATATTTCGTTAAAATTAACTTCCACTTTTGGTTATTAACGCAATATTATTTTATTTTTACAAATTTTAATCAAAGATAATATAGTTATTCAGCATCCATTAGTACAAAAATATTTAAAAAAAAACGGTTTTGTTGAATTAATATTGAAAAATATACTAAACAATATTATTTTGTATCAGTAGAGCTGTATTCAGAAAATATAATTAACGATCTTTTCCATCCACGTAAATTGCTTTGAATCACTTGAATAGCTTCAACCTTCCTTTAGCGAAAGTCTTCTATAAGGATTACTATAACGAAGCGTGATGTTTCGATATACAATGAATACTAAGTGAATAATATTTCAATAAATTAACAAACGTGTCTACTCTTTCTGGTTTGTCAATTCTATAATATTCAAACAAATATCTTTTTTTAAATTATTCAAATCGATTTTAATTAAGAAAAAATCGGCGCCAATTGTATCACATTCTAATTGACCTGAATATGAATGGGTTATTGACCTAGACATCAATATGTTTTTGTTGTTGACTTCCAATAATATTGTAAAATTACTTAAATTTAATACTAAATATGTGCAATTGAAATTTATGAGCCTTTGTATGTATGCAGGAGCATATCTATAAATTATAGTTATAATAAATACATATATCAATAAATTTTGCGTCTTTTGTTACATTTATTATAATTATGTTTAAATTGGAATGGACTTTCTTAGACTAAATCTAAATCTTCAGTTATCTAAAAAAAAAGAAGAAACGAATGAAAAGAAAAAGTTGCAATATAATTTAAACTAAATATTATAATTCGCTGGTTGATTGAACTGGAATTACTTTATAATTTGAGATGTTGTAGAAAAAAAAGCGTATAGTAGAAGAGGAAAGAAGTGTGGTGATTGGCCGTAGACATTCAATTGGTGAATGTACTCTGAGACAATTTCTTTCACCTTCTTCCTATACTTTGCAAGCACTTCCATCCTTATCCGAGAATTAATTATGCCTGGGAGCAAGAGAGATGCACGGTGCAATAGATTGTGGTTTTATTATAGAAATTTCAAACTCCACGGTCAGGGTTTCGAAGAAAGTGAAATGACTCTCCCCGTGTGGAGATGATGGAGGTAGGTATTCCGGGTGTCGCTGGATGCAGTGAATTGTATTCATATATAAACACAGGAAATGGAGCGTATTCGGAACAGTTCGCCGCAATCTTTCGATTCGCTCCATACCTAGTGACAATGAATTCCTTCGTAAGTCTTAAACTACATTATATATCTAATATGATATTAATTAATTGATTGATTTTTCCAGCTTTGTTTGGTAGCAATGTACTGCGTTGCAGTACAGGCAATGCCTTCTGGTTACGGCGGAGGCCACGGTAGTGAACAGTTGATCGGCATTCCCGATCTTTCCAGCTACGAAAAACTGGTGTATCCTCATCTGGATATCCAGGATCTTGGATCATCTTCGCACGGAGATCTTCCAGCCAAAGAGGTTAAAGTTATCAGGACCATCAAAATCTCAGTACCTCACCCTGTGCCCATCAAGGTACCACACAAGGTACCGTTCCCAGTCCCAATAGTCAAACCATACCCAGTCCACGTTACCAAACTGGTTGAGGTACCGCATCCAGTCCCAGTCGAAGTTGTCAAGAAAATCCCCGTCCCAGTAGAAATACCAAAACCATACCCAGTTCCACAGCAAGAGTACAACTCTCAATCAGGCTCCGGATCTTCCGGATATGATAACGCCTGGCAACCATCTTCCGCCAGTGGTCAAGGATATCAATTGCCTTCCAGTGGACAGTACGAAGGTGAGGGTTACAGCGGACACGCCGATCAGTCGGCAGGGTATGCCTCCGTCGTTCCAGCTCAACAAAACTATGGTGAACAGCAGCAGCAGCAACAAGAACAACAGCAAAGTTACGACGATGGCCAGGATCACCAATAACATACTAGTCGCAATCAGTTATTAATGCACTTCACAATTAGCTCAAAGACTGTGTCTCGTTAAAATCATTTCTGTTTTATTTGTTCATATTGTTGCTAGATGTGTATATTTTTGTTAATAAAATATAAAAAATAATATTTTTCTTCTAATTATTTAAAATATAATCACAATATTCTTCAATTATATTTTTAGTAAAAACTGGGATAGACTGTATAGTCACATTTTATAAAGCAGTACCTTAGTTATATTTCAAAATATAATTTAAGTTTCTTCGTCGATAATCCTACGTTATAAACTAAATCAAGAATAATTCTAATTTAATATTTTCTTGCATCAACTTTCCTTTTTGAAACTTTCCATTTTAATCAAAACAACTATTCAACGCTTCATTTATATAAACTATAATAAACATATTTTATATTGCAACAGTTACATACGTCTATCAGTAATATCAGAAAATAGAAGATAGCATTGAACCATTTCCATAGACTTTCCGTTTTTATATAAAGATTATGTGAAATATGAATATGAAGAAAATGAATATTTTTATTGAATATTGATTTATTTTGTGATTAATATCAAGTGTATACATTTTCATTTTTTCATATTAAAAAATACTTGTTTTCTTTTAGAATGTATTAAATTAGAATAAATGGAAAAGAACTAAAGTGATGCGAATTGCTATGGTAACAAGTCTGAACACTAAGTATTAATACATTCATATAAGACATATTATTTGTTAGGAGGGAAACATCCTAATAAATTATATTTGTATAATTTATACTGTATTGTTTGTGTATTTATTGGTCAAATTATGACTAAAGGGGTCTTTTCGCCCTTTAATCATTTAGTTATAAAACGTAATGAATATTTCAAAAACAGATATTTAAATTTATGGTATGTTTGGTTTATTTACATTACAATTGATTGACGAACATGTAACAAAATATTCATGAGTATTGTTAATGAAAATTTAGAATGGAACAGTCATTGTATCAATGATGTCCAAATCCAAGTCCATGACCACCTCCTAATTCAAGTCCATGTCCACCTCCGAATTCAAGTCCATGACCACCTCCGAATCCACCTCCAATTCCTCCACCGAATCCTCCCCCAAGTCCACTATCGTGTCCCTTGACGTAGATTGGAATCTTCTTGTGAACGATGACTGGTACATTGACTGGGTATGGAACTTGTTTGTGAACTGGGTATGGGACTGGTTTTGGAATTGGTACTGGGTATGGGTGTGGGACTGGTACCTTTACAGGTACACTAACTGGATATGGAACGGTCTTCTCAACTGTGTATGGTACTGGTTTATCGACTGGGACTGGGTATGGTTTTGGTACGTGAACTGGGTATGGCTTATCGACTGGAACATGGACTGGATACTTGACTGGGTATGGTACAGTCTTCTCAACTGGATAAGGAACTGGATGTGGTACTGGATAAGGTGTTTCCTTGTGAATGGTGATGTGCTTGACATGTCCTTGGGTTTCAATGCCGCCTCCTCCGATTCCACCGCCTCCAATTCCACCTCCAAATCCATGTTCCAAACCACCTCCAATTCCTCCACCTAATCCGTGTCCCAAATCTCCTCCAAGTCCTCCTAATCCGTGTTCCAAACCTCCTCCGATTCCACCACCCAAATCGTGTCCTCCGAAACCGCCTCCTCCTCCATATCCTAAGTCGAACAAACCTCTCTTGTCCTTCTTCTCAGTGGCAGCTTTGCTTTCCGCCTTCTTCTCGCTCGCTTGAACGACAACTAAGACGGCAAAGAAAACCGCACAAATCTGAAATAATTAAATATAACAATAATTAGATAATTGAAACATTATGATTAATGTGTATGTACTTGGAACTTCATGATTGAAGATGTTAAACAATGACTGTTAATTTTTCGGTTGCAATGCTTCCTTTTTATACAAAAAACCAATGGGAAGAGGTGGGAACAATAAAAATTCTGCTTTCTACCCCTACTTTTGTTTAATAAAAAAACTTAATTTATATTCAGAAGCGCGTTGTGCGCATTCACCCAAACCAAACGTACCCATCCATACAGCAATCTGCTACAATTTAATCATTAACTTATTGCAACAATTACATAACACGTATGGCGAATATTGCAATTCATAGACACAGTTTTGTTTGAAAAACTTTCTTATTAGATCGTATAGCAATAATAGATTATTAATAAATCTATTAATTTAAGAAGGAAATCAACACATACACTTTGATTTGCAAATGAAATAAATGTATTGAATTTAAGCAAATATTTTAATTCATGATTTTTAGTAACATAATGTCAATAATTATTTACCCCCAATAATAAAGATAATGAACTATACAACTTAATTTGATACCATTTATACTTAATTCATTAAATCTAGTTTATTATTATTTTTTTAAATATAAAAATAGTATTATTTATATATAAAGAATATGTCAATATGTTAAAAAATGCTTATATATTTCTACAGAATACAGATTATAATTGGATACAGCAATGAAACTACAATTTTCATTATTCGTATGATTAGACTATTAAGTATATCTTTAATTTTAAATAACAAATTTAGATATTATTCTTGAATGATAAAAAATATTAATTAAGCTAAAGTTAATAGATTTTGTATGAAACTGACACTCTTTAATAATCTTGGGATAGTTTATAAAGTAGATAAGTTCAATCAATATAAGTTATATATAGTGCTAAATTTACACTGTTAAGAGTAAATATTCATGAAAATATACGAATTATTTCGATGAATTAAGCAATTGCATTGTAATAAAATCTAATATTGGAATTAAATTCAAATTTTCTAATATTATTGGATTATTATCAGGAATATGTTTGGTAGTAATTAATATAAAATCATATTTGTTTCTTATTTTATTATTGTAAATATTGAAATTATCTATAACAAACGAAGAACTTTGAAGTATTTTCGTATAAAAACAAACAATTTCTAAAGAATCTAAAGAACAGTCTTTGTTTTAATGATGTCCATATCCATGTCCTCCTCCGAAACCGCCTTCGAATCCCCCTCCAATTCCAGCACCGAATCCTCCTCCAAGTCCACTATCATGTCCTTTAACGTAGATTGGAATATGCTTGTGTACGATGACTGGTACCTTAACTGGGTATGGGACTTGCTTGTGAACAGTGTATGGGACTGGTTTTGGGATTGGTACTGGGTATGGATGTGGGACTGGTACCTTTACAGGTACACTGACTGGGTATGGAACGGTCTTTTCAACAGTGTATGGTACTGGTTTATCTACTGGGACTGGGTATGGTTTTGGTACATGAACTGGGTATGGTTTATCGACTGGTACATGAACTGGATATTTGACGGTGTAAGGTACAGTTTTCTCAACTGGATAAGGAACAGGATGTGGTACTGGATAAGGTGTTTCCTTGTGGATGGTGATGTGCTTAACATGTCCTTGAGTTTCAATTCCACCTCCAAATCCAGATCCGCCTCCAAAACTGCTTCCTCCAAATCCACCCGATCCAAATCCTCCTCCTAATCCATGTCCTCCTAATTCTAATCCACTTCCAAACCCATGTCCTCCATTATCAAGATCCAACAATCCTCTCTTCTCAACTTTGCTAAGTGCCTTCTTCTCGCTCGCTGAGACGACAACTAAGGCACATAACAAAGCGATAATATTAACCTAAAAATAATAATATTTAGTAGATAACCAAGTAATATGTTATAAATGAATATACTTGGACCATCATGTTTGCAGATGACGAGGTTGAACAAAGACTGTTAATATTTCGAACAATCTAATCCGTATTTATACTGTATGAATGGAAAAAAAGAATAACATATTAATTATTCCCACCACTACATTTCTAATTAAATTCATTCTAACCATCCCGATATACTCAACTCAATTAAGATTACTCAACCACATAGAAAAAATATGTAAAATAGGGATTCATAACTTAGTAAATCTATTTTACGTTTGCTCATAAACCTACAAAAAAACACTTCATAAAACATATAATATTGTAAAATTACTTAATAAATATTTGCATTTTTGCAATTTCTTTATAAATTTATTAATTAATAATAATAATAATTTATTGGCCAAACATCAATACATAAAAAGAAGGAAAAAAGAAGTACAATTTATACATAAATAAATTTTAACATACAATAACAAAATTATATATTAATAGGCTGGCCAAAGGGCTAACGACCGAGGTCTTTCCCCCCGGGAACATAAATTTAATTATGAAATAATATAAGTATTATAATAATAATATACAATAAACAACAGAAGATTAAGGGAAAAAATATATATAGAGCTGTAGTTTCTTTTTTAATAATCGAAGGATGAAGGGTGGAAGGGAGTAGTTGTAAGGTGTTATTTTGATATTGGGGGAGGACATAAATGAATGGAATTTGGAAATGATTTCTGGATCCGGATTTTGGGAAATGAAGTTTATTAATTATAATTCATGAATAATGATATACTGACCGTAGACCGTAGTCTTTACCACACATAATTTATTATTATTTTAAGTGTATAAATGACATAAATTGACGTATGTATTAAAATAAACAAGCAATGCAAATTCATTAATTAAAATGACATTGGTTATTTTCCAATAATATTAATAAATTCTTGTCTATATTTATATCTTTTACATTAGCTTAAGAAAAGACTTTTCAATATTGTCCTAAAAGATCTATATAGTATTTTTCCATTCACTGTATTTTAAATCATTGTGTATTTTAAATCATTCCAGCTTCATTTTCACAGTTTTTAAATAATTATGTATTTATAAACTTTTCATCAAAGTTGATATATAATTGATATAATATTACTTAAGAAGTTTCAAGTAATATTTTAAGTGTGGTTTGTATTTTTTTATATCTTTATTATAATATAATACGTTGTATTAAAAAATTATATAAGATATTTAATGAGCTCTAGCAATTTAGCTATAATACAATATAAAGTAAATTTATTGATTTTTACATAATTTTTTTTATAATTTATGAATTTAAACAAATTTATGAATTTAAATCTCTTAATAAAATATTAATGAGTGCAATTATTTAGATATGTAAGGTTTATAATCATTAAAAAAAATATTTTCAACATATTTATTTAGTATACACAATTAAATAAACAGACAAATTTACAAAAAATATTTTACAGTCATTGTTTCTAGTGGTGTCCATATCCATGTCCTCCTCCGAATCCACCTCCAATTCCTCCACCGAATCCTCCTCCAAGTCCACTATCGTGTCCTTTAACGTAGATTGGAATATGCTTATGTACGATGACTGGTACCTTGACTGGGTATGGGACTTGTTTGTGAACAGTGTATGGAACTGGTTTTGGAATTGGTACTGGGTAAGGATGTGGGACTGGTACCTTTACTGGCACACTGACTGGGTATGGGACAGTCTTTTCAACAGTATATGGGATTGGTTTATCAACTGGGACTGGGTATGGTTTTGGTACATGAACTGGGTATGGCTTATCGACTGGTACATGAACTGGATATTTGACTGTGTATGGTACAGTCTTCTCAACTGGATATGGAACTGGATGTGGTACTGGATAAGGTGTTTCCTTGTGGATGGTGATGTGCTTAACATGTCCTTGAGTTTGAATGCTTCCTCCAAACCCTCCTTCTCCTCCTCCAAATCCACCTGAACCAAGTCCTCCGCCTAATCCATGCCCCAAATCACCTCCAAGTTGTCCTTCTAATCCATGTCCCAAATCTCCACCAAATCCTCCTCCAAATCCATGTTCTAAATCTCCTCCAATATCGCCACCCAAATCATGTCCTCCAAAACTTCCTCCTCCATATCCCAAATCCAATAATCCTCTCTTTTCCTTTTTGTCGACCAAGGTTTTCCCATCAGCCTTCTTCTTGCTCGCTTGAACGAGAACTAAGACTGAAAGTACTGCGACTACCCAAAGCTAAAAGAATCATATTATAATTTTGTATTTTAATTTTGTAATACACAAAATACTTGAAACTTCATGTTGATGTTGTTGAGGATGAACAATGACTGTTAAAGACTGGGAACAATCGTAGATATTTATACTTTTTTTTATGGAATGGTGGAACCATACAAATCATACTGGTATATCCCCACCTACGTAAATTAGTTATGAATTAAACAGATGCTGATTACTCATCCGTACACATACGTTGCTAAGTGCAAGAGAAAATGAATGTGCTTTACCAATGTTCATAATTAACATACGAAAACTTCATAGTTAAAGGTGATTATTTGTAATTACAATGATTATTTAACATTTATGCTCATCTAATAACATAGCTCATTAATGCCACAGTAAAGATAGTTCATTTATATATTATGAGTTATATCTTCGGTTATAATTGTATTATCCATAGTTATTAATAATGATTACTGAAAATCTACTTAAATTCGTCATCATTTAGTTTGTTTTTGAAAATGTGAATACTTTATCAAATGTGCAAAGTACATGTATATGTAATCACCAAAAAGTATGAATAATAATTAAAAAGCTAGGTATTTCTTATCTTTATATTTATTCTTCTGAAATTTGTCATCTTTATTTGTGTGTTATCAATATAAAAAAGTGAATGGTCTATCAAATGAGCAAATTCCATGTATAAGTAATTACCAAAAAGTATGAATAATAATTAAAAGCTAATTATTTTTATTTTTATATTACACAGTTGAAGTAAGAGCAAAAACAAAACGACCCTATTGAAATTAGGTAGTAGAGTACAAAAATATCATTATTCTTACTAACGATAAATATATAAGTTATATATAATTAAGCAATGAAGTTAGATTTAACTTTTTTAATGAACCAATTTGCAAATAACGATAATGCATCTGTTATAGTAATATAAATATAACTTGATTAATATTGAGTAAATATATACATAGCTTTTTATGATAATGAATATAGATTCCTTTCTGTTGCCAAATAAATAAAAACAAAAAAATATTAGTAAGTTTTTATTATAAATAATTTTTAATTAAAGTAGAAATAGGTAGTTGAAATAAATACTAAAATCTGTCATTAATTACGTATAATTAAATTGAAAATTTGGAGAAAAAAATTTAGTACAAATAGTAAAATAAAATTAAATACAATATATTTGCAATTTTAGCTAGAGCAGTCATTGTTTCTAGTGGTGTCCATAACCATGTCCTCCACCGAATCCGCCTCCAATTTCTCCTCCGAAACCTCCTCCAAGTCCACTATCGTGTCCCTTGACGTAGATTGGAATCTTCTTGTGAACGATGACTGGTACCTTGACTGGGTATGGGACTTGCTTGTGAACAGTATATGGGACTGGTTTTGGAATTGGTACTGGGTATGGATGTGGGACTGGAACTTTTACAGGTACACTAACTGGGTAAGGGACGGTCTTTTCAACAGTGTATGGAATAGGTTTATCGACTGGGACAGGGTATGGGTTTGGCACATGAACTGGGTATGGTTTATCTACTGGTACATGAACTGGATATTTCACTGTGTATGGTACAGTTTTCTCAACTGGATAAGGAACTGGATGTGGTACCGGATAAGGTGTTTCCTTGTGAATGGTGATGTGCTTAACATGTTCTTGAGTTTCAATGCTTCCACCAAATCCTCCTCCTCCAAATCCTCCTGCACCAAATCCACCTGAACCAAGTCCTCCGCCTAATCCATGTCCTAAATCACCTCCAAGTTCTCCTCCTAATTCATGTCCCAAATCTCCACCAAGTCCTCCTCCAAATCCATGTCCTAAACCTCCTCCAATATCACTACCCAAATCATGTCCTCCAAAACTTCCTCCTCCATAGCCCAAATCCAATAATCCTCTCTTTTCTTTTTTGTCGACTAAGGTTTTCCCATCAGCCTTCTTCTCGCTCGCTTGAACGAGAACTAAGGCC